ACTTACAGTAATTGTTTAAATATCGTCATAATTTGATAATTCTATTTTTATACATAATTGAATGATAACAATCATCCACATACACACACACGTATATATATATATATATATATATATATATAAACTAAGATTTTATAAAGTTTTTATGCAATCTTCTAGACTGATATGCTAATAAATAGGGAGTTTTAATTAAAGGGATTGGGAAATATAAGGGAAAGCAATGGTGCCAACTTTCCAATTTAGTTTTCAATAATTTGAACAGAAGAAGAATAACACAAAAACATTTACAGTTAGCATTTAAAAATTCAAATTAGAGCAATTTTAAGGCGTATATACTACTTAATTCTAAACAAGTGTAAATATTAATGAAATAAATCATGAATTTTATACGAAATAACATAGTTAAATAACACTCAGATAAAAGTGCTAAATTAAAAAATTTTCAACACTGAAATTTTATTTTTCATTTTTAAAGAATTAAATTAAATTGTGGTAACAAATGTTCTAGTTTATGGTTAAAAATTACTAGTTTTGAATTTTGGGTTTTAGAGTTTTTAGTTCTAGTTCCAGTTTTTAGTTAAATTAGAACTAGACTTTAATGCCTTTTCATCAACCCTCATTTGAACCACTAATAGGTTTTGTTCACAACGTTTCAGATTTGAGATAATGCTTTTTTCTTTCTTTTTGCTTTTCTATATAGAGAAAAGATTAAGTTTCAGAATAGCTTGTAGGAAGAGGGAATGATGAGATTTCTTTGCTTTTTTTTATTTTTTCTTACTATCAAATTATTATTTTTTATTTATTGTTTTTAGAATTGTTTAGGAAGTAGAAAAACTATCATAGATTAGTTGCAAAGAAACTCTTGGTAGTTAAGGGTAAAAAAAAAATTTTTTAAAAACTCATTTCAGCAGATTTCTATGGAAATTTTCAAAAACCATTAAAAAGTAATAAAACCAAAATTTTAAGGAAATTAATCTTTTAAATTATAATTCCTATGAAATAATGAACAAAAGCAGTAAGAAAATTTATATTGTTTCTCTTAATAAAAACATTAAATAGAAATTAGCATTAAATACTGTCTATAAATGATTCTATGTTACAACAAAGAAAAAATGATCAAATAATTTTTTTTTCCTCTAATGAATCCTCCTGCTTAAAATAAAAAATATGTAGTAGAATAATGTGTTAACAAAGGGAATTATTCCAGGGAATCCAAAGGGAATTTTTCTAGTCACCAGAGTGACTTGGCGCACTGGAATGTTTCGGTCTACAGATTATCTTGCATTAGATATGGCAAAAATTGAAAATATTATACATAAAAGCAAAAATAATTCAGATTGTGATCGAGTAAGTTGTGATTAAACATCCAAACAGTGAATTAAAATGTTTAACTTTTTGTAAACCTAATCTAGACAATTATTAAGCTGCTGGTCGTCTTTAGACATAAGACCTGTAGTGTATGATGAATGATTAAACAAATGCTCCACTTTTTACAACCTTAATCTTCACAGTTATGAAGCTGTTTATCTTCTTTAGATAAAAAAAAAAAAAAAAAGCTCTAATGCATGATAATGATAGAACAAATGCTCAACACATAGCGAAACTAATTTGGACACTACATGACTAAAATGGAGTGGATCCTCATAACAGTTTAGTTTCCTCAGTGAGTATTCGTAACACATTTTGTTGTTATTCGAAGTCTGGAAAGAGATTCGACAGGCTTTGTTACGTGGCAAGCTTTGCTGGGAAAGGAATAAGCAAGCTTCAAAACTAGTATTTGCTTAAATTTTGGACAAATTCGAGGCAAATATTTATGCTTCCCCTGTAAACTAGGTTAAGAGTTAACTTTGGCATTGTCCATTATGAAGCTTCTCGTCTTAAATCTATTTAGAATAAAGAACACTAGTGTATAGCAGGGTTTGTTGATTTAAATCAGCTTGATTTAAATCAAATGATTTTTTAGTAAAAATCATCGATTTAAATCAACTGATTTTTTTAATATATTGATTTCAAAAGTTAAAAAACAGTGTTTCAAAATTTTTTAAAAATAAATTACTGCATTAATTAATTTTAGTTAACGAAATTACTTCCTTTTTTGGTGTGTGTTAAATTCCAGCACATTTGAAATTACATTTTTAAAAATCTTTTGATTCTTCAGATTGAAAGTACAGATTAAAATAAACCTTTAATGCTGTCTTAATATAGACTTGCATAACTGTAGAAAGTAATTAATAAACATGATTTTTTTTCCAAAAAAATGCAAATGTTAAATAAAATTCTACCTTTTGTTTGAAAAAGCATGGAATTAAAATCTACATTTAATTTTATTGGTGAAAAATGTATATTTCTGAAGCTTGATGTTATATTAAAAAGAAATTACCCTAATATGCCAAAAATAGAAGAAAAAAAAAGGTTGAAATTAGATATTTATTTCCAGTTATAGTGCAATTCTTCCCTTTCAAACTCTATTTGAAGCAGTAGGGTTATTAACTGGTATATTTTCACATAATATGTTTACAGTATCTTTGACATTATCAGATTTTCTATAAAGAAATTTTGAGGGAAAAAAAAATTCCAATGAGTACATAGATTTTTTTTAAAAAAAATTTTACCTTAACTTATCTATTTTGATATAGGATTAAAAATGAATATTTTAATATAAAAATATATAGATAAAATATTTATTTATTTTTTGATGAATGACTACATTTATAAACACAATATGTTGCATTTATTTTGTCATTTTAAAAATCAAGAGAAAAAAAAAGAAATCACAATTTGAAATCAAAATTATGGTTTGCTAATTGAAAATTTGTTTTAATAGTTAACGTACAGGAGTCTGTCCAAGCCAAATTTACTACCGTTAAGCGGCACCTTCACAAATTCAACATTAGGAAAAACGCTAAAATAATTTCACAAAACACCTTTTCTTGAAATTTTATTTTTGTGTCTCGTAGGAAACGATAAATCCATATTTTTACATTGATTTTTTAATATAATTTTTAATTTTCACAAATGATGTCTAAATTTTCGCAAAATAGGCTACTCTCAAAAAAACCTAGACAGACCTCTGAAGTATTCTTTAAATTCTCGATTTCATCTAGTCTTTAAATTTCAATCATGCATTTGTCTCAAAATGATTGCTATGCATTCAAAGCTATGATGTATTATAATGAAAAATTATTTTAGTAAGTAAGAGCTTCTAAAACATTGTTATAATTTAAGAGCTTCTAAAATATTGTTATATAGTTTTAATATTAATTTAACTTTGATTAAACATTTATAAAGTTTTTTTTAATCATAAATTAAAGTTTTTACAGAGTATTAGAATAAAAATCAAAAAAATCCGATTTAAATCAAAAAAAGCCGATTCTTTTTATTTTTTTTAAAAAAATTTTAAAAAATAACGAACCCTGGTGTATAGATTAAATGACTTTTAAACTAAGGTTTCTTTAGTAGTAACATTGATACCTCTGAAGTTAACATTCACTTGCATCTTCTTCACCCCAACCTTCACTATCATATTCACTTTCAGATGCAGAATCTGAATCAGAAAATTCCATTGCTACTCTCCTGGCCAATATGGAAGCAACATCATGCAGAGGGGCAGCTTTATCAACTTCCTTCTGCTTTATGTCTTCTACTCTACGCAATTTAATACCTGAAACAATCACAATATACTTTAGGTAGTTGACAAAGAAACTTTCTTAAATCACCACAAAACAGTAGTTCCCAAACTTTTTAGTTGCGCAGACCATTATATACATATATATATATATCAAAATGTAGGGAAAACAATGGAAAAATTACAGAATAATCAATCTAGGAAGAAAAAATAATAATAATAAAAATTAAAATAACAAGAAAACGGATGGAAAAAAAATTATAATCCAAAAAAAAGGACAAATTTTTTTTTAAAAAATCCGGAAATAAAAGATATAATATTTTCATCAGCTCACACGATTATATCCACAAAAAAGAGTGCTTTCTAATATTGTATCAATATAGCCAAACCAAAATATATCCATACAATAGTGTGAGGAGCACTCAAAAAATTTTACAAAAAAATTACAACAAATAAAGTAGAACACAATAAGTAAAAAATATCACATAAAAACAGAAAATAAAATTGAAAGAAAAAACAGAATAAAACATGAAATGAAATCAAAAAAGCGAGTAGCGAATCCAAATGAACTTACATGAACGCGAAATTTTTCAAAAATAAATTTAAAATATTTCCGTAACAAGATTGCCAGATTGCAAAAAATGAATACAAAAGCGCAAATTGAGATAAAAGCTAACTAGAGGATTTTTGTATTAAAGTGCATTCTTACTGCATTACTGAAGTGCTCTTGATTTGTTAGTTACCGAGGATGTGCCCGAAATGGATGCGTGCAAGGTAATATTATAGTGGATAATTTAAAGAAGTTGACAATTAATAATTATAGAAAATAAATATTTGTTTTAAGAAAAAAAATATAAAATAGAAAAGGGGAAGAAACATGAATTGCCTGTTTTGCACATAATTTTCGCCACGGATTTGCCCAAAATGGATTTGCGCATGGAAAAATTATAAAAATTAAAGAAATTCCTTAAGTAAATAATTTAAGCCACGGATTTGCACATGGAAAAATTATATAAATTAACAAAGAAATTTTTATAGTAATCAATTTTAGCCACGGAATTGCCCAAAATGGATTTTCACACTGAAAAATTATATAATTTAACAAAGAAATTTTTAAAGTAAAAAATTTTAATGAAAATATATGAAAATAGTAAATTTAAACAAAAATAGTTCTTACTGAAGTACAGAAGCGCATTTTATTTGTAAGTTACCATGTATTGTTAGTTAATATATATACATATATATATATATATAAACAGTGGAGCATCGTTTATACGACGCCGAAGGGACCACCGAAAAACGTCGTATAAACGATAACGTCGTATAATCGATTTTTACTTCTAAAATAGAAACTGACTCTGTTTTCAGTTAATTTTGATGTTTAACGTGTTGATTTACATAAATTTCTAAATTAGACAAAGCAAAACAAACAAATAACCAAAGAAGAAAGATTGCAGTGAGCATTTTGAATGTATGTTACCTCGAATTATATTTTCTTGCTATTAGTCTCTACAATGCTTTGAATAGCGAGTTGAACTTACTGCTTTCTATGATGCAATTTTAGATTTCTAATCACGGCCAAATCTAATGGCTGAAGCGCACTTGTGCAATTTGCAGGAAAAAAGAGAGCTTTTACATTTTCCAAAATAATTAGTATCGATGGGTGCGCTGGACATTGGTCGATGAATAGCAAAATTTTTCGTTTTTGCCTCTTCATAACATTGTCTAGTTTTTTCAGTCATCTAGTAAAAATTACGGTCGTCATCCAAGCATTCTTGTTGGCACCCTTTTCTGTATCATTCATGTTGGCAAATTCCGCCCTTTTTTAAAATACACAAGAAAAAATAAAAAATTAAATAAACGTGAACAAAATCTAAAAACCGACGTATAACCGATTCTGTGCGTCGTATAAACGATATATTTTTACATTAAAATGAATAGGAATGATTTGGGACCACACTAAAACGTCGTATAAATGTAAACGTCGTATAAGTGATCGTCGTATAAACGATGCTCCACTGTATATACATATATATACATTGTTTAAAAAACGTATTGGACCGAAAAATTTACCTAGAATTAGACTATCAACCAACATCCATGCCAAATACCAGGCTTCCATGATTTGGAAACCATTGGTCTGAAGAACCATTGCCATAATAAATACCTTTTGTTATTGCCTTATTTATTTTTAAAAATTATTTTTTCTACAAAAATTATATGAGTACCAAATCAAAGTGACAAGAAATACAAAAACAAAAATAATAATAATAAAAATCCCTTAATTTTCCACACTGGTTTTATCGAATATCCCTGATTTTTATAACAAATAGCTAAATTTTATTTTTTATTGCACCGTATTCTTAAGCATGAAATATATTACATAAAACTTATGGAGGCCAGTAGAGTTACAAATAAATAAAAAAATTTAAAAAAAATCAGTAAAAAACCATTATTGTTATGTTACTTTTTTGGAAAAAAAATATCAGACTTTTAGGAACCTTAAATTTAAATTAACACATTTTCCCTGATTATTTGCAGTCTGATAAAGTTCTCAGACTTTTCCCTGTTTTGTGGCTACTAAGCAAATGGTTAGTTAGCATACGATTTACAACTTGTTGTACCTGCCCTAACTACAGACAATATTTTTAAAATCAGTTTAAATTTACTATCAGGCAAACTTTATATTATTTATATGACCACACATTACCTTCACGAATAGCAGCTAATAGATCACTCCTACCAGCCCCTTGCCCCGGAGACCGAGATTTCGAATCCGTTTCGTCACTGTTCTTGCTGGATCCAGTGCTGGTGGGCTCGCAAGCGATACCTCGAGCCTCCTGAATCCTCAGGTCGGACACCCTGTTACCGATTGCATTCACTGGATTGTCTGACGGAAGAGGAGGCGGAGGAGGAGGCAAAAGTGCAGAATTGTTGGCATTGGGAAGTGGTGGTGGAGGAGGTGAAGGTGGAACGCAGGCTAAGTCACCATCTGGCATAGGTGGCGGCGGAGGAAGATCTAAGGAGTCAGAAGTTAAGCTTAGAGAGTCAGGTGGCGGTGTGTGATCCCTCGCCATAGACATGTGATTCAGTAAATGAGGATGGTGATTTGGAGTGTCCCTACGAGAGGCCTGGTTTAAGATATGATTTGCTCCCATGGGAACCATTGGCACAGGTTTTTGAGTTAAGTAGAGGGAAGCCATGTGATTCGGCTGAAAACCATTGACGGTAGCATTTTCTGGAGGAGGAGGTGGTGGAGGAAGCGTATCTCTAGAGTGGCTATTTAGTCTGTATCGGCCAGCACCACTAGACGGTGTTCCACCGGCAGACATTGGAGGAGTAGCAGTGCCATTGGTGCCAGGCACTGGAGGTGCAGGAGGAGGTTGCGATGGTCTGGAATTCCCTCGACTCTGCCTAGTCGGAGTGCTGTTGTTAGAGCAAGCTCTGTGATCTGGGGAGTTCACTGAATATGGAGGAGGTGGAGGATAATTCTGCTGCTGCTGAACATTCTGCTGGGGATATGCTTGAGGTTGGTATTCAGAATAAGCAGGAGGTGGAGGAGGGTAATGATTCGCCGGGCTCCCGTAACTCCCATCTTGTTCGAGATAGGGCATGTGCAGTTCTAAGCTATTGGGTCGCACAGGAGCTCCATCAGTTCCGTCACTCACCAAGCTCGGAGTCCTGAGTGTAGTGTCACTGTAATTCGACTGAGGATAGTTTGATTTGTCAATGAAATCTTGCGTTGATGCCATCATACGGTACTTTTCTCGCGTGTTGTGAGGTTGTCTAACTTTTTTGTGGCGCTTGCCATCCGGCTTTGGTCTGTGCGGCTAAAAGAAATCAAATTTATTAGAAAAAACATATATTTAACTTTCTCATTTATGTATTTTTCTGTTATAACAATTTGTATCGTGCTTCATCTTACAAAAATAGCTTAAACAAAGTCATAAAGTTATTAATTTTTTATGAACTCAAGCATGTTGACGTCAAGTATGGCGACAGTTAAATTATATTTAAAAATATTTTCCATAAGCGTTTTTATAGAACTTTCAGATAAATTTGAAACAAATTGATAATTTTGCACACTTATAATTTTTTCATTTAACACATTTTATCCCTGATGTCATATTTTACGGGAAACTCTAAATTAATAAATAGTTTCAAAAGATAGGAATAAAATTAATACAGAAAATCATGAAGTTTAACTACTTTTTAAAATAACCAAAGATTTATAAAGATTTAAACACACTCTTCAAATTGCCTTTCTCGATTATAGCAGCATTCGCTGTTATTTTATTCTTTTTTTCCTCTTTCATCACAATTGGTTGGCAACATAAACTTTTGTTTTGTCTCAACCTTTCTTAACCACATTTTGATCATTCATTTATTTATTAGATCGATCATTATTTGATCATTATAGGTGGATGTTTTTTTTTTATACTTCAAAAATATATTGAGCGCATTTGAATATTTTTATGAAGAGTATTAGAGAAAAAGTTAAAAAATAATAAACGAAATATTACGATAAAAGATAAATAAATAAATCAAATAAAAAATTAAAAGTTGATGGCATATAAACTAAGAGCATGACAAAAAAATTTACTTTTTTCCCTTTGTCATGTGCCAGTTTTTCAGTGTCTTGCAACATCTCTTGCTTCCAAAGCTCAAAGAAATAATTTGGATCTGTATAAAACTTGAGTCCATCTTTTCCATCCTCTCTATAAAAAATGAATTAATCAAAACAATTCAATATTAAATAGTAATTTATGATGTCCACTAACTAATTTAATAAATAGTAGTGAGTGTCACGATTTACAAATAAGGCATATTTAAAAACAAAATGGTAGAAACTTATCCATTCTATTTAAGGGATTAAATGTGATTTTTAAAAATAACACACTATGTAAATTGGCTTAAGATTTAAGAAGTTTGATCAATTCTCTTTATTCAGAGGTAACATTTCTATATGTTTTCTATGAAAATATAAAAATTAACAACAAATTTTCAAGTTAAAATATTCTATTTAAATTATTAAGCAAGCAAAATACAAATGGAGACATCAAAAAGAAAGACAAAGATAAAAAAAAATGAAATGTCAGATTTTTTTTTTCTTTAATTGCATGTTTATTGCAAATAATGGTGATTCAAAATTTATATTCTGAAATACATTATCTATTTATCAAAATGTTATTTTAAATTATGATATCCCTGAATCTTCGAAATAAAACTAGTAAAAAACTATACTTAGATAAAAAATAATAAATAAAAAAATTACCTTCCCCTTATTTTACATTCGATATACAGTACAGAAAAAAACGGATCAATGAGAATAACTTTTGATCTAATGATTATATCTTCACGTTCTGGGACTCAATGGATCAAAGAGATTACCTGAAATATGCTAATTAATTAGTAGAGACGATATTTTAAATTATAAAATCTGATACAAAAATGCTCTGAATAAACATACCTTTATTTCAATGGATTCAGATTTCTGAATCCCAAAACATATGGGGAAGCTGAGAATATGGTCGCAATAGTTTGGTCAGGAGAGGGGTCCAAATACTGGACTTATAGTGTTAATTTGATTTTTTACTATATCTCGAGGAAATTTTTAAGCAAATTGAATTTTTGCACTCAGTAAAATTCACCAAACTTTTTACACATTATAAAATTTGTTTGTTTAAAGATAATTCCATGCAAAAATTATTTATTATAAAATTATTTCATTATTTTATTTAAAAATAATGGAAAATTTCGGGACACCCCTACATTTTGGGAGTCAGAAATCCAAATCCGTCAACAACAACAAAAAAGCGTTTATCCAGAGAAAGTACATTTTTGTGTCTGATTTAACTCATTATCTGCACTAATTAATTAACATATTTAAGGTCAACCCTTCGAACCATTAAGATTGAGTCCTAACACGTGAAGATTCGATTATTAGATCTAAAGTTATTCAGGGTGGTCCCTTTTTTTAGGCACACAGTACACATTATTTTGAACAATTTAAAACATTCTACGGTTAGTACAAGAAAAGTAGACACTAGCAAGATAAAAAGGATGGAAAAATAAAAACAGACAAAATCAAGGTTCAAAGGCAAAAAAGCTGAGACTTTAACGATATTTATATAAATATTACAGTCAATGAGTAGAATGTCTACATTCTGTAAAAAGTCTTAAAATTTTGGATTTTTTAGGCAAATGATGAAATGTAACAACTATGCCTAGCTATCATATAGAAAGTCTAGACATTTTCTTAAAAGGCAAATGTTTTTTACGGACAGCTATCGTTGAACCAACTACAAGGGTCTGTTTGGGTTGAGGACTAATAAAACAGTTCATAAGACTTCCAAACTTAATTAGCAAGAGCTTCCAGACAATAGATATATTTACAGCACTCAAATTTGATAACTACAACTCAGATAACAGTGTAATACAGCAGAGAGAATCACAGAAATCCACCAGCAAAACACAAGCCTAGAAATGTCAAACGGTTCAGCAAAATGAGTCACAATCTCAGTGAATTGAGTCAGTGTCAGTGAACTAATTCACTTGAGGGTCACACGGGTTAAAGCACTACCAAAGTCACAAACAGACTACTTTACTTTTAATGAGACACACCCCTATTTATATAGGCTTAGCAAAATCCTGGAATTTTTGGCATAATTCTAGAAAATCTGTCATAACTTTATAAATATTGATCCAATCATTTTGAAACTTAAAGCTTCTAGGACTCTCAGTTTGTTGCAAAAATGGATTTCAAGTGTCCCAAGATTGACAGTAATCCTTCCATATGAAATACATTAGGCACTATTTTCTTTCTAAATTAAGTTAGAATTTTTGATTTTTCTGCAATATTTTCTTGTTAAAATTATTATTCAGGATCTATCTGAGATATTTAGCCACCTAAACAACGAATATTCACAAATTAAACAAACATTTACAAATTTATAGTAAGTCATCGTAGCATATCTATGTAATGTGTGAAACAGTAATCATTTTATACTTTGCCCATTGATTTTAGGCATTACCTACAATGATCACTAATATTCTACAAAATTATGATACATTAATTATATGTGCAATATGCACAGATAATTAAATTCAAAACATAAAACAGGGTTCCCACTCTTTCAACAAAGCAAAAATTAAGCACTTTTAAGGACACTTTTTTAAAGAAATTAAGAACTTTTTTGAAAAATTAAGGACTTTAAAGCGATTGTTTATCATCGGATTTTACATATGCCACCAGTGACAGTGCAAATTATTTTCCTTCTGAAAAAAATCAATAAAAAAAATAAATAATTTTATTATAAAGTAAGCACTGATATAATTGCATTAATTAACAGGCTCGCCAAAGAATTACCAGGCAAATTTACATATCCTTAAGGAATAAAAATAATAGCGTAACAATCCGAAACTTTAAAAAAAAATTTACATTGCAACAAAACAAATTATAAATAGTTACCAAATATTTAACTTTCTTGTTAGAAGCAAATCATGCTTATTTAGTACTCAAGAAAAAAAATTAAGTATTTTTGAAAAAAAACTTAGTTTTCATCAATAAACCCAAGGTTCTTGATGAAAAACCTAGGTGGGCTGTTATTTTTCATACTCTGTTTCTTACAAATCTGTTTAATTTTTAGTGCTATCATGAATTTTAAAAAATGCTATGCTTTCTATAAATTTAGAGTTACTTATTACACATTGAAATATTATACAAATTTATTTAATTCGATATTTTAGGAAATAGTTTTCGGTATGGATTCTAGTTATTTTCTTCTTCCTGATACTTCTTAGCGTTTACTTAATTACTATACTTTTTTATTTTCTCAGCATTTTACTTAATTCCTATAAGCAGATGCATTACCAGTAGAACAGAATTTCCAGAATTCTGTGAATATTGAAGGCTAGTGCAGGTCTTCTACTTAGGTACCTTAAAATTGTCTTCCCTTCTCCCCCAAAAAACAAAGAGCATTATCTCATCCATGTGCAGTATTCCCCTTGTCCACACTATTCTTTTCTTTTAGAATGCTTCACTGTTCTCATATAATATCATTCTAGGCAAAGGGCAGAATATATTAATGAAAGAACTACTATATTAATGGAAGGACATGTTTTCTTCTCTTTCACACATTAATTTTTGTCTCTCTAAAATGCTTTACCCTCGATGCATGGTCTAATTCTAAGTGATAAAAGAACTGTCTAATTCTAAGTCATAAAAGAAAAAATTGAACTGAAAAATTGTTCCTATCAACCACAGGCATGCTAAAAATTAAGGACTTTTAAAAACCTTGTACCAAAATTAAGGACTTTTAAAGGCCCTTATTTTCCATAATAAAAATTAAGCAGTTTTTAAGGACCGTGGGAACCCTGTAAAATGTCAGGAATATTTTCTCTTGAGCTTTGTGAACAATACATGAACAAGCTGGGGAAAAAAATGTGGAATAATGCATAAAATTGGCCTAAAAAAATACATTTTATGCATAAAAAATTACTGTACTTGTGATATGCAATTATAAACAGAGAGCGAGGAATAAAGTATAAACAAAACATAATGCTTTTAAATAAAATCTTCTTACCTGTAAGGATTCAATTTATCCAGTGGTGGAGTTTTTCCGCAACTTAAATATATTTCTCGCATTGCAGCTGGCATTGAGGATCGAGAAATAACTGCTTGTTCAAAGATTACAGAGCTTTTGAAAGCTTTTCGCATCAGAATATCTTGTAAAGACACTGCAACAAAAAATAACATTTTTAAAACTAATGAATAACACTTTTAAAAGCAAAATATACTTTGAAATATAACTTTAAAATCAAAATGAAACTACAAACAATTTTTAAGTAACTCAAATATTTAAAATATAATATATTAATTTATCTTTTTTTTTTCTTCTCGTGCTACTCAAAAATTATATAAAAAAACTTCACTGTCTAGAAGTAAATAAAATATAGAGAAAACATTGAGCATGAAAACTATCATCTATTCCAAATTATTAGAAGATTTAACTATGATTAACAAATAAAGTATACAAGTCTATAGAATTATTAATTTGACTGCAAATCAGGGTCAGTATGGTTTAAATTACTTGATTTTTTTTTTAATCATCATTGATTTAAATAATTTGTTTCTTGTTAAAAAAATCAATTATTTAAGTCAAAAATATTTATTGTTTCAGTTAATATCTAAATATATTCCCATGACTGTGATTTCAATTTCACTGATATTGAAGATTTAATCTTAGAAGATTTTAATGCTTAAAATAAATTAAACAATTAAAATAAGACTAAATGTGGATTAAAGTGATGTGAAACCTTTAAATTCTAATGTTTCATTAGCTGCATGAGAAATAATTCGCTATTTATGAATTATATATTTCAATTATACCAATTACGTTTTATTTATTTAAATGCAAACACTTTTAAAACCTATTAAACATATAGTTTGCGTACATATCTGATGCTAATAGTAGTCCTAAATAATTTGTATAAGCATGCATTTTGAAGCACATACGGTATAGAACATTCGTGGACTGTTAACAAATTGGTGAAATGGGAAAAAGCAGAAAAGTTTAAAAAGAAGCTTTGTGCCATTTTTGTAAAATGTTAAGACTTCAAAAATGTTATAATGAAGGAAGATGTTTTTGCTAAAGATCTTTCCAGATTTATTTTGCAGATTTTATTTAAAAAAAGATCTTCATGGAAAAATCCAGACAAGAATGACAACATCACATCTTTTTTAAAATTTTTATCATTATAACTATTCCTACAGACATCAAGAAAGACTTATTAAACACAAAAATAAAAAACAATTTAATTACCACAAACAAATAATGAAACTAGCAAGAAAACTTTAAAACTTAAAGAATTTTACACTTGCAATGAATCTTATGATTAAGTGAAATCTTAAAATTTGTCACTGATTAATTAATGAACATCTAAGCTTCAAGAATGATTTAGAACACCCTATTCTAAACCTTTAATCACATTATTAAATCTTTTTTATTCTGGTTTTGATGATGAACTTTTGAACTAAACTTAAGAGTTGTATTAAATGAATTATGCCTGTTCAAGATGCTGAATTACATAATTCTTTAAAATGTCTAAGAATGTCATATTTTTTTTAACAAATATGTTTAGAACAATATACACTGGGAAACAGAAGGTTAATAAATTTTGCACCAAAGAGTAATGTACATGAGAAACAGGAGATACTTACACTGTATATTGAGAAACAAGAAGTCATATGTCAATATTTATAAAATTGAAAGTCCTATTTATATACAGTCTAATACTTGAGAATAAGCACACTGATTTGGATCAAATTTTTTTCTGGAGTTACTGAATTTTCATGGAATCGATATAAAGCAATAGCACTTAACTCAAACACATTTTAAGATGGAAATATTTTTTAAGCAAAGGTAAAATATCTTATTAGTTGAATTTTAAGTCAAATATATTTTTAGTTCATACAATCTGAAAAGTTCAAAAAATTTTAAAGCATAAAATTTAAAAAAAAAAAAAAAAATATTACATCCATGCAATCTTTAGTGATATATAATATAACAACATTAACTCTTTTCCTGTTGCATAGTTAATTATACAAAACCATACTCACACTTTAACAAGAATTACATAGGTAATAACTGAAAAAAGTATAAGTTTGGATGATGTTAACAATGTATGGAATAAATAAGTATTTAATTCAACTCCAAAACAATAAAGTTACATGTTGAACTATTTGTTCTATTTAAACTATTCTGTGCTTTGAGCTATATTAAGAAATGAAGTTTTTTTTTAGGAGTGAAATTCTCCCCAATATGGAAATTCAAAAATTTTTTTCCTACAATTTTAAGAAAAAAGGAAAGCATTCCTGCAACAGCCCATTGTGGGCCAGGGAGGTCATGGAGGATAAGGTTCCACAACTTTATGACCAACGGCATGAATGTGGCAATGTGGTCAGCATTGCGCACAAAGCGTTTTTACCCATACAAAGTGGTAACCATCGATCTGAAGCTGGGTAGGCTTCTAGCTGCGACTGGGAATCAAACCTAAAAATGACCAAAACTATTGCTAAATGATAAGCAGCAGGGCTCGAAAAAACTCAGAAATTTTACCCGTCCCCGAGGACAGCTTGTCCAACAATGTACCCGTCCTCCTTTGAAACTAACCTGTCGTTTCTAAATAAATAAAAATATTTTTTGTCATTTATTGCAAACATTTATATAAATTACACAATGAATTAGTAGCTACTAGGATTACATAATACAGTAATAAAAGAAATACTAGGTTACTAATAGTAAAACCTAGTATTTCTTTTAAGAAATAATTTAAGTGACAAAGGTCAAGTTATCTGGAAAGTCAATTTATCCCAGGGTTCTGCGTTTTTTAAATGAATCAAATACGACGTTTGCCAGTTCCACAATCAAGCCTATGATTTACAGAGGTTTCTGCAGAGAAATCTGAAAGGGGATTTCCATTTAGGTGGATGTTCATAATTGCGTTTAACGCTTACGTAATGTGTTTTTTTGAAGTTCATTGCAGAAAAGTCCCTTTCAACTGCACAGGCAGAAAAAACATCAATCCACCATGCGCAGTATGTTGCTGTACGGGATTTCTAGATTAGAGAGTCATTTTAGAAGTGAGGGACTAGACTCTTGTAAGATAACAAAAATTGAAAGTGTATCACGAACATTAACGGGAAAATGGCTGTCCGTGCGGACGTCTGATTCGAGAAATTCGTTGTCCGCGGAAAATTTTTGACCGCCGAGGGCGTGCGAACGGGCGGTTTTTCGAGCCCTGATAAGTAGGATATTTTAAATGAAAATAAATAAAATTCAATAAAAGAATAAAAATTTAAAAGCTTTTCACTTCAATTTTTTTTTAAATTAATATTTTCATATTTATTTTATACAGAATTTTAAAATCTAAATATTATATTATCTAAGTTGTTAAGAGCATTATTATATAACAGTAATTAATTATAAAAATTAGAATGCTATTTTTAACTGTGAATTCAATATGTGAGTTTTAGTAGTTATGATTACGTGATCCGTTTAATTTAATTAATATGTTAATAAAATTTTATTGTGGTGTTTTAGTATGGCATTAAATTTACAGTCCTTATAATTTTAGGTTCTACTATGCTCCTTTACGTAAAACATTCAAAATAACTAAATGGTTTTAATTTTTTAAGAGAGTCATTGAATTGTTTTTTACTTTTAGTTTTTACCTATTTTGTTAACGATTTTCAGTTTGCCATACCCTCCAACTTATGAGGATTTTAAAAATAATTTTTTCTAGTGGTAGCGAACCAAAGTAGAAATTTTTAAAGCAAATGGATCTCTCATAAAACTTTTATCAGAACTTAAGAATCTAGCCATATGACCTGCACTTTTATAAGTAATAGTGGACAAGTTACGCTAAAATTAATTTTTTTTAAATATTAAGACATTAATTTTGCTACCGTCTGAAAAGAAGATTTCTGAAACTACGGAAATTCCGTAGCAGGGTATGGGTTGGAGGGTATGGTTTGCACTTTTTTGAAATTATATATTGAGTAACTTAGAGGTTAAAACTATTTTTTAAACAAGCTAAATTGCTTTAAAAAATATTTTCTTATTTGATATTTCATTTTGAATAACAGTTTTCCCCCCCAATTTTTCCACTTAGGTTAAAAGACATATTTTTTCTGGGGTTANTTTGCACCAAAGAGTAATGTACATGAGAAACAGGAGATACTTACACTGTATATTGAGAAACAAGAAGTCATATGTCATTTGATATTTCATTTTGAATAACAGTTTTTCCCCCCAATTTTTCCACTTAGGTTAAAAGACATATTTTTTCTGGGGTTATTTTTTTCATTGTGGTAAAAACTTATCGTTCCTGATCCTGTTACATACATTATTTAATGTTATTTAGAATGTTTAAAAGAATAAGACTAAAACTAAGATTATACCTAATTTGCTAAAATTCTCATCTATTTTCTCTTTGTGAAATTGGGCAGAAAATCTGCATACTTATTTTATTTTATAACTAGAGTTGAACAGTAGACCTGATTTTGAGTTTACCACTATCAATGCTCACATTAACAACATAAAAAGATCCTTGTAACTTTAAACCCAATCCAGAAGACAAAGAAACTCCTGGATTAAGTATTTAAACAAACTAGCAATCTTGGGGAACTACACCCCATTTGGAGACATTATCTGACCAATGATTTGTTAACTACTGAGTATATTTTACATCAGAACTGTGGGAGTCAGAAACAGAATCTGTATCCACCACTCATCACGGGGATTTGAAACTGGGTCACCTGATTTTAATGCGACCATTTCCATTACTTAGGACACTGAGACTCCCCGCATACTAAATATAACTATTTAAAGCAGATGATAAATATTCAAAAGATACCAACCTTCTTCAACATTAGAATCTAGTTGTGTAACTTTTAAGGCCAGCCGATCAATACGGCCCTGTAAAGAATGAGTCCTTGCAACAATAGCTTTAGATTCTTTAAATAAAGTACTAAAAATGTCTTCAGCATGCTTTGACAATGATGACAACTGGCGAATAATATTTGCTAAAGTTCCATTTGTTACACACTCCAACTCATTAGGAATATCGACAGCCAGTGCACCACGCTCATTAATTGGCAAAGTGTTTCGACACACGTGGACCGGCTCGATCAATCTTTGAACCAAAGGCATCTTATTCAATTACCTGTAAGGGGAGAAGATTAGCAGGTATCACCAATTTTATGACTTGAAAAAGTTTTCAATTGAAAAAAAATAAAAATATTAATAACGAACACTTATTCAAAAATTTTCCAGAAAGTTTAGTTTCTGTTTAATACTATCATGAATTTGAACAACAAAAAAAATATGTAAATATTTATTAATAGTATAATTTTAAACCTTCAGTTGAAATAAAACACTCAGTTTCAAAAATATGTTTTAAAATTTTTTTTTTATAGAAACTTTGAAATTATATTTTTATCAATATTATGTAATATATGCTGACAACAGAGAATAAATTCGGACCACTATAACTAACTAAATATAAACTTTTTCAGAATATTAATCTACTTAGTTTTTATTATAAACAGGATTCATTAGCAAAAACAGTTAGAATTGATTATTTTTTCTTCGCTGCAAAATTAAATCAATTAACAATGATATTTTAATAATAAAATTCAAAGGCAATGTTAATGTATCGATCCATTTAATGAATGTATTAAAGGTAACAATATCATTTTATCTATGGCTTTAGTGTTTATTTTATAGTCAGCTTCAATAAATTATAGAAATACCAATTTAAAAGCTTACACTTCTGATCGTAAAAACAACAATAACAGAAAGACAAGCAATTTTTGTTTTAAAGCACTTTACATGATTTTATAATAAAAAAATATTAGTCTGGGTAACTATAACCATTCAAAAAAATTATTAAAAAAGACTTCAGACCATAGAAATAACAACAAAACAAAATTAAAGGGCAAATAATTTTTCGATTAAATCACTTTACTAGATTTTATTTATAATAAAAAAAGAAGAATACTTGTATCTGCAGCTTTTAAGTTTATGCCAATCAATGACATGACTGATGGGCATCATTTCTGATTGTAAAAATAACAATAACAGAAAGACAAGCAATCTTTGCTTTATAGCACTGTTTTAAACTTTCATTTTCAATAACTTTAGTCTGAGTAGCTAAAAGTATTAATCATTTAATGATGACAGAGCATCATTAGGTAACTATTAGTATAAACATCACGGTTACTTTTAAATGTAATTTCACGTTATAATAATATAAAAACAAATATGAAAAACTAAACAGCCTTACTAAATTTCACCTTAAAATACTGCCTGAATAGCTAGGAATATAAATCGTTCATTGCTATGCTTATCACTACACATGTAGAAAAATAACACATAGAAATTTTTTCTTACTTTAAATATAAGCGATCAATAAAATTTAGAGCACACCCAACACTTGTATTAATCAAGGCCAAAGATATGCTTCCAACATTCCATAATCATTTGCTACACTTTTCAACAACGTATTAATTTGCACTTCAAGAACGGATGTAGCAATCAGTCAGCCACTGACATGTCTCTAACCACACCAGAAAAGTTTGGTTTTTAATAACACCTGCAGTTATCATTGTCCTTATTTAAAAAATAAAGCGTTTAAAAAGTTTTATAAATCGTGTAGATGGACAATATATCTTAGGAGTACTTAAAGACCTCAGATACAACATTATCACTTGTTTTCACATTATGAAGCATAAAAGTAAACAAATACAGCTACATCATAAAAATTCATATACATGTCATGGCAGAAATGACGTCATTTTGTGACGTTGCCAAATTTCGGATTTGGTCATTGGGATAAAAAAGAAAATACGAAACCGCATTTCGTTAACTGTCTGAAATTCGGAGCATTCAGGCTGACAAAACGGACACAGCCACGCACGACATCAAACTACCCCAGACACGTATACGGGCCATTCCAAAGATCATTCTCACTAAATGCGAATTTTTTCGCATCTCTTAAACTCACGAGTGAAATTAGAAGTATCCTAGAAATTAGAAGAAGAAGAATTAGAAATTAGAAGTTAAGCATTACTGGCAGTGGTCAGTGTGTGGATGGATGACCACTTGATCAGTGCTTAAAGCAGGTGAGGTGGTCCGTGACTTCTTAAAATTTTTGAAAAGGGGTCCATTACATCAAAAAGGTTAAGAAACACTGGCTTAAAGGGACGAGGGTGTGTTGTATTGGTCCTCGTTAAACTGTTCTATCGTAAAGAGCTTGACTTCGCGTGTAGGTGGTCGGTCTATTGAAGTAGGAGCTCCATCTGCTCTGCTGAGAATCAAAATTGCATATCTCACCACATGAACTTTATCGTGAAAGAATTAAAGGACCAGGACATTTCAGACCTCTTTGGTCTGGAGAATTTGGAAATCCTACTCAGGCCCGTCCTCAACGAGGGGGTGAGAGGGGTGTCTCCCCCCC